TAATATTAGTTAAGATTATTTAAAACAAACATTAGTATGTATAAAACAAATAAATTTAGTCTAAAAAATCAATGGAAAAAAATATATGCGGTTCTGAAGTAGGTTTTAAAATAGATCTATTTATGGTTGCATTAACGACTTTATAAGTCATCCGTTAAAATATTGTTTGTGTTACATTGTACGGTAGTAACTTAAGTGTTTTATAACTGCCATAAAATCGAACTATGGTGTCAAACTGTAAACTTTCACTAGGTCGTAAACACATCGTAAGAAAATTTAGATTTTTATTGTTTTGTCAATGTCCTTGATAATGCTTTGTTTAAAACAATTGTTAGGTAATTTAAAAGAAAACTGTTTATTTGTTCTTTATTAAAGTCGTGCCTTTTAAATGCTTTCTTAATATTATGAACATCTCTTATATATTCAAAAGTTAACATTGACAATAAATAGTAGTGTCAGCCTAGCAGATTTTCAGCTCAATTTAATTTTATAAGATTATCATTAGATGAACTTAAAATTATAAATAATATACTGAGTATCACAAACATAAAAAAACATTATTGTTAGTAATTTTCTGTCTAAATCAGAGACATCTCAGTCAGAATTCATAATAATATATTAACTAAATAACCAGTACCTTTGAGTTTGTACCAGATTGTTACATATTATATTTTCTTCAACTATTTTGTCTGTCTACGTAACCATTAAATAACAAATACTACTTTTTTCTACTAAATTCATTTGTTAACTTGAAACTGAACTGCTTTATATTTAAAGTGTGGGAGGGCTATGCTTTGGAACGAATGGGCCGGGTTGACCAAAGCAATACCACAGCCTCACAAAAAACCGACGTGAAACAACGCTTGCGTTGTGTTTCGTCGTGTGAGTGAGGTTACCGGAGACCCAATTATCCCCCTCCCCAATCACCCCAATCCCTGAATCCGTAGCAATCCTCAAATTTGTAATCCACAAAAGGCCGGTAACGCATTTGTTACACATTGTTGTTTTGGATGTCCACGAGCAACGCCGATTGCTTATAATCAGGTGATCCGTCTGCTTGTTTAACAGCTTATCTTATAAAGAAATAAAATATTAAGAAACATTATAAATGAGTACCGACTGAGACATAAGTTGCGGCCACTCTTGCATACTACTGAAATTGTTCCACACGTGCCCCAACGATTTTTAATGTTGTTCTCTGTTTCATGTGTATATTAGTATGGATAAGGCGTTGAATTATGCTGTTAATTGGGCACTTTCATTAATCAAAAATACTATAAATTATTTCGACTGTTCAATACAATAAAATATTATAATATAATCACACTTTCATTAATTGATTTTATGACCAACTTAATTTTAGTATTTTTTCAGCAATTTTTTAAGAAATAAGTATTCTGTTTGTCGCTTAAAAAACGTGACGTCACAATACACAATCTCGTCCAAAATTCATAGAAAACTGTCGTTTTTGAAAGTTCGTTAAAAGTATTGAATTTGACTAGTTGGCAAGTACTAAATTCTTGTTTTCTAGCATACATATCTTAATGATCGCCATTTTTTACAAATATTGATAATACAAATTATAACATGCATGATAATCACTTACGTTCTCATAATATAGAAATTATACATAGTGATTGTCCTTCCTACTATTACATTTCTTTACTAATAGTTTTTGACTCGTCGATGTAATTTTGTTACCCTTTCATACAAAAACGAATATATGGTTTTGAATGAAATTAGGAAAGCACAGAGGTATACCTGATAGTCTGCAATAAGATATGGATTCTGTATTTTAACCCAAAACTTGAGAAATACTGTTTAAAAAAAGCCAGTATAATACAGATTAACTTAAAATATAAACAAAAAGTAATTCCATACGTTTCTAACATGGTAACAGCGGTCGTGCCGCAGCCGTCTCTTGCGGGCCATGTGGCTTCACATCCGACGCACCTTGTTCAGGTTACCGAGTGACGAGTACCGCACTGTTGTTCCAGTGATTCAGATCCGCACATATTATATACAATTATTTCAGCATTATTCATAATAGGGTAGATGCCTAATTTTTATTTTAATGTCCGTCTAGTATTTTCACGGATTTTTTATTTTCTTACAGAAACGAACACTTCGACGATATATTGATTTGAAATGTCGCGTGACGTCACTTCTATGTAGATTTTATACGTAGAAATGACGTTTTAGCCTCCACTCCTAAACTTTGATTCGTTTTATATAAGTATTGTTTTATTATACGACAAAATAAAAAAATACATGTCTAATATTTTTTCATTACCTAAGTTACGGACTAATTATATTTTTAATTTTCATACCCTGTCATCATCCCAATTCTATAGTATGTACTTATGTATTTGATAAATCAAATAAGGAAAAAAAACTTGTTGTCAAATATATATTCAAAATAATGACCACATAATCTTAAAGGCCATATCTGTGCACTTAAAGTTCCTGCTAAAAATTACTACAATAAATACTGTCTAGAATAAAAAATCCAATAGATCAGCAAGTAAGAGGTCAGACTCATTGCCAATCACTGTCTAACATTTTGACTAATAAGAGTACCAAATAAAGTTGAAATCCATTATCACTAAAAGCAATTGAATACTTTTGACTTTATTTTATAGCCCAAAAATCATGATTATAATTAATTTTAATACTGTTTATACATTGTATTAAGCACACATGTGGACTGGCCCAGGCCTGCAAATCTGCACTTTATAGCCTGCCCCAACTGATAAACAAACTTAACTCGCATTTAAAATAAAACAATCCAAGTTTCAAGTAGCTCGTTATCATATTAATAACTTTACGATTTTAGATCCGATTGTAATAAGTGCCTTTAGCCAAACGCCACTTTAGCGTTTGTCTACCGAGAGAGTAGAAAACTAAATGTATGGGGATGACACTGACAAGTGTCAAAATTTACGTCAATTCCATATAATTTAGTTTTCTACTCTACAAGTAGACAAGCGCTAAATGGCATTTGGCTACAGCTGAGGGATTGCTTTGGTGCTCATTGTGCAAGGTATTATAAATTAGGTGATTTGACTTATAGCACGGAGTAAATACTAACTGACAATAGTTCTATGCCAATTTACTAATCTCACTCCAATTCAACCCGACGTCAATACAATAAAGCTCTAAGCGAGCCGCCCGTGCGCTGATAGCGCTCTTAAAATATTTTTGTATTGTTTTAGAATCAAAAATGCAGTGCCGTGTGTTTGCCGTTACTGTGTGTGATGCCCTTAGACGACTTTAACGACATCAGCGGGAATAGTAAGCATAGTGGTACATACGGCAACAAACAATTTAACTTTAACAATTGTACTTCGCAAATAATATCTCATCATAATAAATCAATACGTCATCCACGTGTATAATGCACTTCAAACTGACTGTTAAAGATGTGACCGCCGTACGTCGCTAAAATAGTCCGAGTGACATTATCAACCCACGTGTAAACTACAGAATCTAACCAAGAAAATGACTTGTGAACCTTTGTACTGTCACGCAACTTCTGCTGCCCTTTTTTTGAGGGGGAAAATCATCTAATGACTTCTCCCGCCTGGGTGAGGAGGAAGGGAGTATCAGACTCTTACTGACTAAAAACCACCCCGTTCCTACTCCTGCACGTCGAGCCGGAACCCCGGTTACCCGTTAAGTCTTCGCGGCTAACTTCTGCTGCCCTAGTACCTGGATTGTTATAGCTTGTTTTTATTTGTAATAACGAGCTGATCACCCGATGGTAAGGAATTGGCACCGCCCTGAAATACCAGAGTTACCGGCTAAAAGAATTCTGTGGGTTAGAGTATAGTCCCATGTGCGTTGAGTTATAATCGGAATGAACATCCATTTCTGTTTATTAATGTCAAAAAATTAACAAATCATTTTCACGTAGCATTGCATTTCAAAATCATAATAAATTAATTTAGATTTACATTATTAGAACATTCTAGCATTCGAGATGACCTTAACCATTGTTCCGAATGTTTAATAAATAACAAATATCAGTATAATCAATTGATTTGACATTCTAATCTTCTGTCATGAACATTTCAAAGTCGATAACAGCATCTCCTCCTAAAATGTTATCTTTCGAGGCTAAAATAAAATCGCACAATACTTCTTTTTAGGTTTTTTATTGTATTTACAAAATTAAAAATAAAATACTTAACTATTTTAAAGCAGAACCTTAACTTTCATACAAACGTATGATAGCAAAGTTCATTTGGTACATAATGTGCTTAGTAAAAAAAACAGAACAATTTAACAACTTTTTATAGCTATTTAGGCAATGAATTTGTAATTGTATTTCGTAGACATAAGGATGACATTAAAAGTAAATATGTTTATGAAATAACGACTGCAGCTACCATAACAGTATCATGAACTCGATTACATTAAAAATCGGTTGCATACGTATTACAAAGTTGATTAAAATGTCTGTTCAAAATGGAATGTGCTGACTCAGTAAGAAATGTAGTTCACAATTCATACAGATATGACACAAGTTTTATCTAATTAATATCCTTGGTAGTTTCTAATTATTATTAAAACATAGAATATTATTTAAATTACACTTCACAGTGCAATAACACTGAATAAGATTTCTTAAAACAAATACCCATCTACTAAGACTTAATACCAAGATATCTTGAACTGATTAAAAATACATTAATACTATAAGAAAAAAAAGATGGTAAAATGTACATTGCGTTCTTCAAATGAATTTCAATGCAAAATCCAAAGAAGGTTGTGAAATACTTACACCTACTTAAAACTGTAATAACTACTTACATTAGTTAATTTTTATAAGAAATCAAAGGTAAGAATAAAATTGGAGCATAAGGCATTGTCCATATTTTGGTGTTGTTTTCAAAATAAATGGACAAGACCATACCCTTGACACATACGTAAACGTTAATGGATAAACAGTATGTTGAGAAAACAAAAACAATAGAAGTAGATCTATTGAATTGTTTTTATGACAAAATCTGAGAGGAATGGAAATGGTTCAAAATTGAAAATAGACTGATTATTAAGAAAGTGTAGCCAACAGCTGTTGAGGCTGAATTACCGTCATCGCAGTCATCACCTTCACAGTCATCGTCACCATCACCACCGCCATTGTCAGTACCACAGTCATCCCCGTCACCATCACACACATCGATACCATCTGGGCTCAGGGTTGTTGTAGGAATATCTTCATTCCTGTCAATAATTTCCCAATTGCTTTGTGCATCTAAGAAATGCGAATTGTAAATACGTTCCCAAAATGAAGCTGTTTGTGGATGTGGATTCCTCAACGCTATTTCTACAGGTCCAGTGACTCGACCTTCACGTCCACTTATTTCGTCTACAGATCCTATACGCAGGAAACGGGGAGTGAGTAGACTATAAGGCTCCCATACTACATTAGAATACTCCGTATAAGGGTTACTGCAACAAAAATTACATACTTAATATAAGTTTATGTAGTTATGACCATTAAGTGCCTACAACGACATATTTCAGAAAGTATTTTTGTGTACACGCGAAATTGTTAAATAAAATTCACAAAATAAATTTTATTTTTGTTTACAACGTTTTAGTAACCTAAACAAAGTTAAGGATTTTGAATAATTTGATGAACAACAAATAACTCAAAGTGTCAAAATAACTACAACAAAATTAAGAAAAAATACATAACCAATGATACGACTGCATTGTTATTAAGGAAATACATTTATTTGAACTCTTACTAAGTAATAACTTAATGATCATTGTAATTTTATGAAGCTTTTTTATATTTTTCGTTGTTCTTGTAATTTAAAGAATAATGTAAAATAGCAAATCGAACTTGCTCTGAACATGAAACTGAAAAATCTGAACTCTACAAGCACCATATGAAATACATATTGATCATCACCAAAGAACGGATAAGCTAGATATCATTTTGTGGATGGGTTTTTAGAAAGAAATCGAGATATTGAAATTCGTAAATCGGAGGGAATACCTATTGCTCGCTTAAAAGGTATGAATCGTAAGAAAAGCTATTAGAATATTAGATTTTGGAATATTGGGAATACTCCTGCAGCCGGAACCTATTACAACAAACGACTTAAATTTCACACGTAAAAACGTGGCCAAAATGTACTTGTATAGTATAGTATGTAAGTGTATTTAGAAAATTTTGTATAAACTTACCCATTCTTAGCAAAGTTAGTCCACCTGTCAACGAGGATATTGGTAATCAAACGATCCAAATCAGTTGCTTCAGAACCTCTGTTGAACAAATAAGCCACTTCTACACCATGTGGTGCTGAATCAACGCTTATGGGTCCAGTAAATGCTTCTCCGAGAGTTCCTTTATATGAAAACTGATATAAATAGGTATGTTGTGCTGAAGTAGTAGGTACTCGATTTCTTACTTCTCTTAAAGAAGATATGAGAATCATTGTGTCACCATGATATTTCAGGTACGGTTCATATAAATTGGTTGTAGTTGTCCCGAAATAATACCTTTTAATTTCATCCGCTACTGTTTCTTGGTCATCTTCGATTTTTAGATCGGGCTGTATAAATTCACTGAACGATTCTTGCATTCGGTTTAGCCAATCGTTACCTAGTGCTTCTTTTGATCGAATAGTACCTTCGTAATCTACAAATCCAATAATGGTAGGAATATCTAAAAATTCATGGTCACGTATAACTTCAGCAGGAGTTTTTATAAGAAAGGGTTCTACTCCTTTCAATTCTTTACGTTCTACACAAGGAGCAAAGGCTAAAGAGTTATCAGTTAAGTCAAGATCATTGATAACACCCATCAAAGCTCCAACACTAGTTCTAGTGAAAACCTCAGATAACTGTTCAATACTGGTTATTGTATGACCAAGACCTTCAGCTACATCGATAGCATGTTTCAAGTTATCACGGGATACAGCCCAAGGAGAATATGCGTTTCCACTTTGAGCGATTACTTTATGTACCAAACCTTCACTCATTGGAGACATTGTGACTAAATCAACGGCAGCTCCACCACTTCCATGACCAACGATGGTAACTGAATCTGGATCACCTCCAAACCTTTCAATATTTTTCTGGATCCATTTCAATCCTGCAATAATATCTTTTAATCCAGCATTACCGGGTGCGGTTTCAGTACCAAGACATAGGAATCCTAAAACAGATTCACGGTAATTCAATGAGACTACAACAACCTCCTTTTCAATAAAATTGCGGAAAGATAGTTCTGGATTATTAATTCGGTCGAATTCTTTTCCTTTAACCCATACCATAACAGGTAGTTTCTTTGTATTATCTATAGTTGGTGTGTAAATGTCGACTACCAGACAATCTTCGGTGCCTTCATATCCTGCACCTAAGGCTCGAACGCATTTTATGTCTTTTCGGTTTGCAGTTAATGGGGTTTGGAACGAAGGTGGCGGTAGTGGTGCCTGTAAGTAAAGATAATTATATAGAAATAATAACATGTATATAAAAAACTATCACTAAAACTACATCAATGTATTTGAATTCGTATTTTGTCTCATTCAGTAATGTAATACTGCTATGTAGCATATGAGATCTAATAAAGGTTTTATTGCGAAAAGATAGTAATATTAAAATATATATTGTATCTAATAATTTTACAACAAATTTTGCGGCACATAAGACGGAAAATGCAATTCTATTGGTTGCAATAATAGGAATCGTATATTTGTACCTACCTTGAATCGGTTGATACCCGAAGTTGCGTCCGCGTATGGTATGCCGTGGAACTCGAAGTAATTTCCTTCAGTTGACTGTGAACCTATCACCGTGCCTTGGCCATCTAGTACTACTGAAGGTCCTTGCTGACCTAAAGCCAGCGCTAGGATGGCACAGAGAGTCAAAACTTTTAACATGGTTTCTATACCACTGCAAAACTAGAACTGGATAAAAAGGATCACAGGGAGAGAAAAATAATCTTGATTAGATAAAGACAATGGTTTCAGTTTGATAATGTCAACTTTTTTGATAGTGATGATAAAATAATCATACTTTTCGTTCGTTTTAAGATGAAAAATAGTACGTCAATCAGATAAAAAGTCTTCAGTTAGATTAAGTTCAATTTTTTTATTAATTCAATTGTTTCATATTCTGTATGAGTGTATCACTGAAAATTTATATTGCGCACTCCAAGAACGGACGGTTTGCGGTGCACCAATTTTTGTTTGTCTTAGGTAAAACAAAATAATGACAACTACTAGTTTTAAAGACACTAAAACGAAAATTATAATGACAAAATGTGTGTCATATAACGAGGTCAATGACCTCCACGATCATATGAAGAAAAAATATGTGTCCCTTGGATACCGTTACTTAATAGACAGATGTTAAAGAAATATACACTTTAAGTCGTTGCAATTACGGATCATTATTTTGTGAGATGTCTTGTGGTCCATTTTTTCAGCGGTTCCCTTAGCGGGGGTGGTGATACGTGTGCGAGGGTAGCGGGGAGGTCCCACAAAATGTGCGCAACACGTGTATGCGCCTGCGCCGCTACTCTGAATTCATGAGAATTTCTGATTCATTGACTCTTGTCGTATTGGAGTGAATTTTGTTTTGTCATAATTAACTTTTTGTTATACTTACTTACCTAATGAGTCATTTAATATTATTTTTAAGTACTTAGGTTAAGTTAAATACTTGGGATTACTGAAAGTATTTCATACATCATACATTCAAACATCATCACATCTTTTGAAGCAATATAGGCAAAGATGATGACTATTTTTATCCATACTGGGTTAAAATTTAAATACTTCTGAATTATTTCTCATTATTTATTGTTTATTTATTACCAAATCAAATTTTCATTTGTTTCATAACCTCCATAAACGTAATATAATAAATAACTTTTTCAGAGAAATATATCTTTAATATAGCAACATTATAAGAACATACAATTCAATTTCAATACGAAATGTGACCTTTAAGCAAAAAGTTTTGCAAAAAAGAAAATAATTATAAAATAAACTCTGGCTTCTGACCTTTTTCCAAAAGTTACGATTGACGTAGGGACCTTATACGTCACTAAATTGATATTAGCTTTTAAGCCGTCGCTGAAATCTAAAATCAATTTAGGAAAAGACAAATTTTCTGTAAATTATTTTATCACGTCTCCCAGCTCGACTTGGGATCCGATTGGATGGTCCAAACATATGTTACACCACGTGGGTCCAGAAAGCAACTGTTTATAAACCAAAGAAGCGTATCTAACAACCAGATACCACTGAAAAGTGACTCTTTCGTGCACGATAATTAGATGACAATTTATTTGACATAGTTGTGGGGGTTATGCTAAAAGTTTTGGCCAGTGTTACCTTGTGGGAGACTCCGTTGAAGCAGGCGAAAGGTTAAACGTTATGCGTACCATATTGTAAAACGTGTATCTTCGAGATATGATAAAAAATTTGGTTTGTTACAAAAAGATATAATTTTTTAACCTGTTACTTTTCTCAAAAAAAAAATATGGTTGCTGCTACTAAACAAACATAAAGTAAGTACATTAGGTATAAAATCTTCGATATACTACCCAGGTTTATAATCACATACCTAAGTACTAAGTAATCTTACAATGAATGGATGAATGGTTAGGCTGAGGTGCGCATTACGACATGACAGGATAAACCTATTGCCATATACCGGGCGCAGTTCCAGGCTCTGTGCTACTACTGAGATTTTTTTTAAAAACCCAACAATACTTTGTCGTACCCAGGATTTCGGCAGTCGCACTTGCGACTACTCGGCCAACGAAACAATCCAACCATTATTGTATTAAAATTCAGCGCTTAATAAAAATTTACCTCAAATAATTCTTTTATAACCCCTCGAGCGTCCTTATGAGCACCCGGTGGATCATAAGAAAAAATGCTCCAAATGTCACGTGTTCACCCGTTGGATCATAAGGAACGTGGACGCTCGACGGCATAAACTAAGTTTAAGGAAACCTCCTTATTTTTAATTTATATATATTGTAAGCTTCTCCTAAGTGTAACAAACAGTTTTCTGAAAACCGCATCAAAATCAGTCCAGCCAATTGCGAGATAATCGCGTACAAACATAGAAACATACAAACATACAGGCGAAACTGAGAACCTCCTTTAATGAGTCGGTTAATAAATTAATAACGACTTGCTATGGGATAAAGTATCCATCTTCAATGTTGGCACCTTCTTAAAGTTCAAGTAATCTAAGACTATTTACTAAGCAATCATACATTGTTTTAATTACAATTAAAACGTAATCCAATACTTTGTTTAATAACAATAATATTGCGTTTCCTTCGGCATTCGTGATGTTGTTCTGATTAGTTTACGTTTTTTATTAGACGTTGGGTAGAGGGCGCTGCGGTCACGTACCGTTGGTTTAATGTACGGCATGGATTGTTTTAGAGTTTTGTGTACACATACGTGCTAACTGTAATAGCGGAAACTGGTCGTAAGCTGCCTTGTATAGTCAAGCAATTACTCTGAAACTTCGCCAGCTTAGGAAATTTTAGGAGTTCAAATACCTTTGGTTTCTTATAAGATTAAATTTCAATTAAATTGCTTTGGAATTAAATATGTAATTTTTATCGTTAGAAAATGAGTCTAGAACTTTTAATAAGTAATTTCCTGAGCTAATTTCCTTTCTATATTAGAATAACAAATGATAACATACCTAGATAATATGTTTTATACATCAAGTACAGTTTTAATAATACAACAATAAACAAAACAAAAAATAATAATAAAACAAACTCTTAACCAGCTCTATTACTATCAAGTTAACCCAGAACTCTTAATCATGAGCAGCGCGTGCGACGCTTAAATTTACTTTCTTACTGTCTCTTGACTTACCTACTTAATCCACGATACATTTATTGCTACCTACCATTCCATTACACTTATTAGTACATTAAACCCAAAAGTCTCCCCGAGGAGTGCGCCCGCGCCGATGGCGAGGGGAACCGTTCAAAAATAGAATCATCATGGATTCCTATGCTTGCATATTGCCATGGTGCTTGAACGTTAGCACGCGCCTAACTTAAGTCGATGTTATTTTAATACATGTAAGTAGGTATCTAGGTACTTACATGATTATTGATATAGAATGAAATAAGATTTTTTTAATTCTGTGAATATTATGCTACATTTTTCTCTATGGGAGTTAGACAAATTGCTCATATATGATATTCTTTGCAATTTACGAGTCACCTGACACAATAGGGGTGATGACTGGGTATGAAAATTAAAAATGTAATTAGTCCGTCAGTTAGATAATGAAAAAATATTAGACACGTATTTTTTTTTGTTGTATACTAAAATGATACTTAGATATAACGAATCAAAGTGTAGGAGTGGGTGCTAAAATGTCATTTCTACGTATAAAATGTACATAGAAGTGACGTTACGCGACATTTCAAATCAATATATCATCGAAACTATTCGTTGTATGTATTTAAATAATCTACCAATCGGACATTAAAATAAAAATTAGTCATCTACCCTATTCTATATTAGCTTAAAAATAATGTAGAATAAAATTGCTATGAAGTAACTCTGACCATTACCTTTACTCTACTTTTTTTTTATTCTTTATTTACTTATTTGTCTGCAAAATCGCACTCTTAGGTACTCATACATAGTTGCTTTTGCAAATTAGACCAACGAGGAAGCCACTTTACTGTTAAAAACGTCAGTTTCTATTAACGGAAAAGACACACAATTTGCGCATAGAAACTAAGTTTCAGAACTTATGCCGTTTCTCCCACAATTATCTGTAAGCTATTAACTACGAAGTTTTGTTGGACTATAGTCGATAACGTCTGACACTATTATAAGGTACAAAACCATAGTATAAAGAACACAGTAGGTTATCTAAGGCCGCCCGCCGAGTTATTAGCCTACTCTTGCGTTGATCCCCAGGGTTGTCACTTTTACTTTTAGTTAATATTTTCGAACAAGCAGCACTTGATCTAAATTTATGAAATGAAAAGCATATTATGATTATTTTATCAATTTATAAATTTAGTAAAAATAAAAAGCTTATAAAAAGATTAACTTCTTAAAATAAACTTTAGCTCTATACATAGTATTCAGAAAGTAAATTTGGGAATACATTTATATGGAAAAATGCGACACGGCCACGCTCTTAACAAATCAGATAAACTGTGAAATAAACAATACAATACCACATTTTCTTATAATATTTAAGTATAGTAGTTAGTAGGTAATTCTTCTTTCTGGTTGAGTAGGAACTATGAAGAATGATAAGAGTAAGAATAAGTAAGTAGGTATCTCATCATCAAGTACCTACAAATTATATTATGCTAGAAAAAGTGACTAGCTTACCTTTCCTGTTCAATACGTACTTAATCTGAACAGAGACAGTTCTGGAATCGATTAATTATTAAGACACCCAAACACACAGCAATACGTTCTTCTACGGTTATCAGACATTTTTTATTTCATTTAACAGTGCCGAAAAGTGATGCGCGCGCGAACCTCGTGCAGTGTTAGCCCTGCCTGGCGCACTGAGAAACGGGTCGAGATTTTGTTAAAGTGTGCGTGCGTCGACGCATAGATACTATGGCGCACACATATAAGCCGCGCGCGGAGCATTTGTATGAAGATAACCTACTCTGTTCTTTATACTATGACAAAACGTCTGGAAATTGACTTCATATAATGCACATATGTATGTATAAAATGCAGTACCAACTATCACCAGTTGTGTTATGAGAAGAGGAGACTGTTGAATTATCATATTTGCCCGCTGCTGACCAAATCCTTTTCTTACACGGACAGATTTGAGCATTAATCGCCACTCTTGTTCAATGCGGGCCAAATTTCAAATTATAAGTTTTTTTATATATAAG